AAAAAAAAAAAACACACACACACAAGCAAACAAAAAAGAATAAAACTGGGATTGCAGAATGTGGCTCTTTTCTGTGAGCTAGTGAGTTTCCTAATTTGGAACTGGGTGACTTTCCCGCCCAGTTCACAGGCAGCTCCAGAAAACCTCAGGTCTCCCCCACCGAGCAGACCCCTTTCTGTGAATGGCAAAGACCAGAGCAGGATTTGTGATTTCTGCAGTCAGGCCAGCTCTGGCGGAGAAAATGAGGGGAGCTAGACTTTTCCCAAATTTAGCAGTCAGATGAGTTGCTTTCTTCCCTTAAGAAGAGCTACAGAGGGGTGGAGAGAGCTGTCAATGGAGCTCTACCCTCATGTCCCATCTGCACTCAACCCAACAACCTAAAAATGTTTCTTCATTCCCAGGGGGACTTTATAGCATACAGGAGTCAAATCAGTGTACCTAGGGGGATGGAGGCCCAAATAAGGAAGCTTTCTTAAGAGTTTCTCTTTTAGTTAAAGCTTTTTACCAAAGTATAATATAAATACAGAAAAATGGAAATACTAAGTGTACAACCTGATGAATTTCCACGAACTGAACAGACCCAGGTAACTGGCACCCAGATCAAGAAATAATTACCGGCACTTCAGAGGCTTACCTTATACAGCCTTTCAGCTGTTACATCCCAAAGGTAATCACTGTCTGTGACAGTATAAATTAGCTTTTTGGGTTTTTTTGTTTGTTTGTTGTTTGTTTGTTTGCTTGTTTTTGAGATAGAGTCTCGCTCTGTTGCCAGGCTGGAGTGCAGTGGTGCGATCTTGGCTCTCTGCAACCTCCGCCTCCCGGGTTCAAGCGATTCTTCTGCCTCAGCCCCCTGAGTAGCTGGGACTATAGGTGCACACCACCATACCTGACTAATTTTTGTATTTTTAGTAGAGACTGGGTTTCATCATGTTGGCCAGGCTGGTCTCAATCTCCTGACCTCATGATCTGCCCGCCTTGGCCTCCCAAAGTGCTGGGATTACAGGTGTGAGCCACTGCGCCCGGCAGCTTTTTGGTTTTTATGCAATTTATTAATGGCATCATACAGTATATATTATTTGGTGTTTGGCTTTTTTGCTTACATCATTTTTATGAGATTCATTGTGTGTGGTTGTAGATTATTCATTCTTGTTGCTATAGAACATTCCACCGTGGGAGTACACCACTATTTATTTATTTTTTATGTTGAGACAGGGTCTCACGCTCAACCAGGCTGGAGTACAGT